TAGTACCGGTAGACATCAATATGCCAAAGAAAAGCGTTAGGACAAAATTACAAATTCACCACCTAAAATAAAGAGACTTAGCGTGCAAGCACGCGGTTAGTAAATCGAATGCACCGTACCTACAAACGCTGCGCCGATTCTGTTTACCTTCTGTGCAAGACCCGTCGTCGCTTCCATGGTGGTCCCGAGTGGCCTCGCTCATGGCACACTAGGCCTGCCTGACTCAGGCACTCGCGACCGCATGTGCTACAGCACAATGCGCTCGACGTCGATGTAGTATAACCCATCGGTGCTTGCCGCTTCCGCAATTGATACTTCTTCTCTGCATGTATGAGATCTTTCTCTCGCACTTTGGCAACTACCGTCGCGATTAGATCGCGCCATGCACGCCGATCAACGGCCTTCGATTTCCATGACCTACAACCAAGATTAGAACGTGAGAGGCTCACTTTGATCATGTCCTGGTAAAGTAACTTTGGTTTCCCCACATGTCGTTTCCCAATACTCAGTTGACCATATAATAGTTGTTTCGGTATCCGCGTTGAATCCATACGCCACACATGACGGAGCCACCTCAGGTGTCTCAGCAAAAGTACGCTGTCCATTGCATACATTACACTTTGTCGCAACACCTCCTTGTCCGCAATTCTGTCACCCCATCCCGTGCGCAGAATCCGTCCTAAACTCTGCTGATGGAACGGCTAGAGATATCACACATTCCACCGGTACATCGTCCACGTTTCACTGCCGTATAGAAGAACGGACAGCACCATGGATTTGTACACCATCAGCTTCGTGCCAATGCTAAGCTGATGGTTGTTGTACATTCGGTTCCCTAGCTTCCCGAATGCAGCCGCTGCCTTCGAGACGCGGATACGCAGCTCACTGTGTAGCTGCTGGTCAGTCGGCATCACACTCCCAAGGTAGCAGAAGCGTGAGGTGGTTCCAATACTTCAGCATCAATGCTGATTCGCAGCAATATTGTGGATTGCACTTCCGGTGAAGGCTGAAAGAGACAGACAGTTTTGCTTGTGTTGATGGTGAACCCGAATTTTGTCGCTGTCGAAGCCAGAGCACTAGTCATGTACTGCAACTCATCCGCGCTGTATGCAAACAACGCACAATCGTCAGCAAACATCAACTACTGATAGTTGTCTCACAGACTAAAGTTCTCATACCGAAACGACAGATGTTCAGTAAGCCACCATCAGTACGGTGCTCCACACCAACACCGTAAGCACAAGCAGTATCAAAAGCACAAGACGTCATTGCATGAAGATCAAAATTAAACAGAGCAGGAGCTAAGACACAGCCTTGCTTCACACCAGGGACAACTGCAAAGTCATCCGCTGTCTCTCCACTCAGCTGCACCCTCGCCCGCATACCACTGTGCAGACATTCAGTTAAACTTACAAACTTACGCGGGCAACCAAACTTACCTAACATCAGCCACAATGCCTCCCGGTTCACCGTATCAAATGCCTTGGTGCAATGAACAAAATGCGAGTACAAAGGCTGGTGTCATTCTCGACACTTGTCTTGCAGCTGACGAGCCGCAAACACCAAATCTATAGTGCTGCGACCCGAACGGAATCCACACTGCTATTCCGCCACGTTAGGTTCCACAATCTGTATGACGAGGCGGTTAAGCAGGATTCGAGCAATCACCTTGCCCACGCAATTCAGCAAGTTGCTGCCACGATACTACGTGCAACATTGCTTGCTCCCTTTGCCCTTGTACAATGGTAGCACAAGGGCATCCTTCAGCTCGGCACGCACCTCCTCCTCAAACCATACGCGTTGCACCAAGTGGTGCAGCGCAGTCACCAACGCAGGTCCGCTGTGTTTCAATACTGAAGGCTGGATCCCGTCGGCACTGGCACACTTACCGTTTCGCAGCTGAGCAAGTGCTGTCTGCGTCTCATCCAATGTCAGCGTGTCTGCCAGACTCGCCTTCACATCGTGCTGCTTGAGGCCGTTCAATGTTGGCCAGTCGATCTCTGAACGGTTGTTCAAGAGTCAGTCAGTGTTTCCGTCAGATCTGCATTATGTCTGCAGTCTGTGTGCAGGTAGCGCCTGAACTACCATCGATCAGTGTCCTCAGAGGCTCCAATCTCGGTCCATACAACCCCTTCAAGGAGTCAAAGTATTCCTTGTGTCGGCAGCGTTTGGAGTACCATTCCATCTGCTTCGCCTTCTCCGTCCACCATGCATTTTTAACGCGACGGAGCTCTCGAGTCAGACATCGTTGAATTCTGCTAAACCGACTCTTCTTCACCAAGTCACTGGGGTCTGCCACATGTGCAGCGAAGGCTGCATTCAATACCACAATGTTGAGGACCTTACAATGCTTGCCGGACGACATCTTTAACAGTAAAATTGAAGAGGAAAGGCGAGATGGAGCAGCCTTGGCGCACGCACCTGTTGACAGTAAACGAAGTGGAAAGCGTGCCGTGACCCCTGACTTTGCCTGACGTATGACTGTAGGGATCAAGATGGTTAAAACTTGTCGGGCACATCTTTCCTTACTAAACAGTTAAACGACACAGATCTGTCTACGGAGTCAAAAGCCGCTCGCATGTCTAAGAACACTATGATTGTTGTCCGTTAGTGGACGTGACGGAGTTCACGAAGTTGGCGAAGTGTGAAGATGTGGTCAATACAACCACGACTTGGACGGCGTGGTCACAGAGGACCTCCAAGTTTTCGGGTACAGTGAAGAATAATGCGTTTACCTTACAAGCAGTACTCAATGCCACAAAAGTATTGAATACCTCACGCTAAGTGGATAGTGATTGGTTGCGCAGGATTTCTGGAGGTGACGATAGTTGCTGGGAAGTGTTATTTCAAGGTGCTCCCTACACCTGACGCCACAGACGGTGCTGAGTGTCTCTTGTACCGATCTCGTTGACAGTGAATACTTATTTTCTCATACATCCATATCAAGCCAATAGGTGGAACAGTTTCTACTCAACTTTGTGCCTAACCCTTGGGTATGCCTACGAGAGTGTTTTAAGTCTATACATATTACGACACTTACCAGGCTGGACTAGTGGGAGCCGCTTCTATTTCTTACCGGGTCTCGTGATAGTGGACATAGTTACAATAAGAAATCACAGAAGGGGGAGAGACGATCAGTGACGAACAAGTGAGATGACATGAAGGCCAAGGGAAATTTATGGTACGACTAGATAGGTCTGTGATGCATGCGTGATGGTGCCTAAGAAAAAGTATGCTGTGAGCTACTTTTGGATACAATCTGGATGGTACAACGATGTATAAGGGGAGGTAAGTCAGTTCTAACTTACACTGCATCAAGCTAAATACACCAACCTAGTGTCCATCATAAGTTGAACATTGTCGCCATATCAGCTGCAGTTGCTGTGGGTTTTCCTTTCACCACGTATGCACAGTGTTAGTCTATTGGAAGCCGCTTTTATTTTTTACCGGGTCTCGTTTTAGTAGACTTAGTTATACAGAGAGTCACTGTGATGGAAATGTTATTATTAATAACTGCAACCAGAATCGTTTGATGTATGAACTTAAGTTAACTCACCTGTGTCCATTTGCGCAGATTTTATACCCCTGAGAATGAACTCAAATGTTCCCCTTCCGCCAGCTTTGTTGCCAGCTTTGTCAACTCAGTTCCAGGAATTTCCATGCCATCCAGGTAACCAACTGACCTCAAGGAGAGGGGTCATATTTCTCTGCGTACTTTTCGCTAGTATGGTATCCCTCTGGGCATGCTTCATTGACGTCTACGTTGCCTTGTAGGCCCTTCTTCTTACTGCTCTGGCGAATGCACCGGACGTTATCATCTACAGCTCGGTATTGCTTTACGTAGCTAATCTCATTCAAAGCCCTGCTTACCTGCCAGTTTTGTGCTCGCCGCATGTCCGACTAATCGGACATGAAAAAGCTATTTGATGGAAGTTCTTATGTGCACTTATGTACTCGCACATGCGCTTTTCGTCATTTGATCTCCGTTGTGATGCGGCAGTATCGGAATTGAAGATGTGACGGCATATGCCTTGCTTGCTTTCTGTTTGTTTCTGACCTATACGGGCTTCCATTCCTTGGGTCGGTGAACACACGGGATTGTTTTGTTCATCTACCTTCGTTCTTCTGTTCCATGGATCATATTTAGTGCAAACACATTGGTGCACTGAGCACTTGATCATCAATGTATGTGCGCGGCCTCTTGCCACAGGTTTCTAAGACCGGAACACTTACCTTTGTTCCGGAACCAGCATCGCTTTGGAAACCCAAACCACACTACTCGCGTGGGACGAGACGCCATCCCAATCAATACCAGTTCCGTCCTTCGTTGTACTTTTTCTCGATCCCTCCGCTATCGTCAGCTCTTCTTCTAACATGGTGTTGGTGTTGGTGAACAACAAGGCTTTAATTGTGGCCATGTCTTCCTTTCCTGGGTCATTTTCCCCCGTTTCCATGTTACGTTTTCATCCGGTAAAGTCACTGAGATAACTGCTCGTCTAACGGCTGCGGTTACTTGTCCTTCCTGATGTAAGGCTCATTTTCCCTTCTTATTCGTTAGCTGTTAGCTGTTTAAATTCCAGATCCAACATTGAGTTTAGCGATTGACCACAATCCTTGCTTACTTACGGTTTCACGTTGTGTTTTCAGTTTGATGTGTTGAATTTCCGCCGTGAATTTGGATCTACCTTGAGCTCGAAGTACAACCACTCAATTTACCTCGAAATAAATACGTATATGCCTGTACTGTGGTTGAACTTCGTCTCAATACTCCATTATTTTTCATGACCGATCTGGTCACACCACACATGAATTGGGCACACACCAAACGTATTCGGTGTTATCTCATATCCGTTTCTCGTCACTGTGGTTTATGTCGTTCAAAGCTAGCCTATATCTTTCTGCACGTCCAACGCGATAGCATTGGGTATTTTCGTTGAGACTCACCTGATTGATCTGGCCAGCGAGTTTCAAATTTTAGTGACCTTGACTGATCGATAGTCACACAGCTGCACACAAGGCTGCTTTATTGCCTTCGGATGTATATTTGCGCATTGGTGAGTCTCAATGAGCCACTTGTTACCTGCTTTGGTATCTTCAAATCGATCAAGTCTGACAAGTATCAGTCGGCATATCCACTACGACCGGTAAGCTATTACTTTGGACTAATTTGGGGTAGCCTTCATTATTTTTACATATCTAATTTGCCACCATCTCATTTGATGACTGTTATATACAGGACCCGTACTTTAGATGAGTTCCCATACCTCAGTATTTGATTGGTTGTTCATAAGACGCAACTTAAAGCATAAGACCGATCGATTGGGAGTAAATTATTATTCAACACTTGACCAATATACAATTGGCAGTGCCACAACACATAGTTAACGACAACGAAAAGGGGAAAAACAGGTAGTCAATGGAAGGCTTAATAAGCTTTTCAAGGTCTATGCGTTGTGTGGGCAGAGATCTTCCCGGTTGCCCAGGCCGAGGAAAAGGGTTGACTTAAGGGACCCCACTTCGAGCCTTTGGTCATAAAGACCTTACCTGCAAGGCAGCGGGGCGATTAACGAAGACCGTTAACAGCCGAGTAGCTCATACGCCTTCCTTGTGTTCAGTAGCAGTCCACAGAGAAGCCGGTGGTCAACAAACTTGTTAATCCGTCCTCCGTGAGATACCGCTAAGTACAGAAGTGAGTGGTCAGTGATCCTATAGCCGGTCACATTGGCTTTGACACAGCGCTGTACGAGCTCTTATGGTATTTGATGGAGCTCTGCGACACTGCCGCTAATTGTCCTTGACTGCTTATTCCTCTCGCCTGCAAGACAAACGTGACTTATTTGCAGTTAACAAACGGAAGGCGTTCACCGATCCACAACCTGAGGACGCGCCCGATAGCGTATAGCTCCGCCACGGGAGTTGACACGATAGAAACGTTCAAGGCTATGTAGGGTATTTTTGGCGTCGAACTCGCAAACCATATGAATTGACCCCACTAGGTCATCGGGAGCATCAACTTCGCTGCGCTCGGCTGAGGCCAACTTCTACTGTGGTGGGGTTCTATACAGTAGAACATTCGAACAGCACCTGTGTGATATTTCATCGAATTCGAATAGTTAGATAAATTGAAATTCTGTTGGTGCTGTCAGTGAGATCATTACAATTTGTTCTTGCATTGTGCCCACAATCTATCGCATCTCAGCAAGGCTTAAGAAAGTCTTATAGTTGGTTGGTTGGAACTTAACGTCTACCTGGTGTTTCTTGTTTAGTAGGCCTATGCCTAGCATTTTTCATATATCCGAAAGATACGTGCGATTTGTGGATAGTATTCCGGCGGGGTGAAACTTCCATGACCCTCGCCGCAGATGTACTTCGTTACCTTCATTTCATATCACTTGATCGGTTACTCTGAAAATTCATCTTGCTTTGATTACTGGGTGAGATTAGATTATCCCTGATTGCGTAAACAATCTGGCAACCATGGTAGGCATCGTGGTTTACGTTCACTTTTGGAGATGTTCCATTATGCACTTTTCTTCGGCTAGCGCTTTAACTTTGAGAATACTTGGTAGGGTCTTAGGTTTCATCTGGCTTATCATCTGCACGAGTGTTTCTGGATACACTGGTACAACGCACTACATGTCTCGGCATATCCTCTGCACCTTCAAGCTGCAAAAGGCTCCGCAAGACTTGTCGTCACGTCACGAGCCTTATCTATCACCGAATGGCCACCAGAATCAATCGACCGCTTCACTCATTTAGGTCGTGATATTGGTTCTTGGGGTTGCATCAGCTATGAGGTTGCCCCATACATTGGGCAAGTGTGGATTGCTTAAATTCCATTCGTCCACACGGACGGGGGCACATTAGTCTCCCAGACAAGTGCAGGATATACACCGCTGTGGCACGGCCAATATTGCCGAAACATGACACTGCGCACCAAGCGAGTTAAAGAAAATTATCCTCTTTACACACCAGTAGTTGCGGAACATTGCTCATATCTCATGCGTGCACCGGGTGAGCAGTGGTAAGGTTAACCAGTTGGTGCTTAGAAATAAACTCTCGTGTGACTCACCGGAATATCAGTTGAACTCGAATTGCTTACGTTGAGCATGCTTGAATCCCTCATAACTTTCACTTTATCACTACGAAACCAAAGATACATATATGATCGCTTATGGCATCCACAATTTGCCTACACAGGCGTCGATTACTTGGACCATACACAGGAAGAGCTTTCGACTTAACAGTCGATCTCAAGGTCCCTCCTTATCATCCTTAAAAGAAATTAAACCACTATTCTTTGGATTGGCCGAGGACTCTTGAAACGGAGAGGGTCGGTACTATGGGTCCAAGAAGAACCTCATGGCCACTGATTTGAAGGAGCGTTTCTGGTGACAGCTTAATCAACCCACCCCGCCATTATCAATTACTTGGCTCTAGCGATTTATTTGGCGTATTGCTTCACGGCTTCTGGTCTCGAATGAATCAATCACATGGTAACGTTGCTTAAACTTGATGCGACACAACTTCAAATAATTCTATCGTTGGTGAAGGACGGTGTCCGCTTACTCATGTTGGGTCTAGTAGCCTTATTAGAACCCCTTTTGCACAGGGATATTTCTTTGAACCAGCAGTCATAACTTATCACCCTCGTCCTTGAAAAGCGGACTTAATCAACATTACCATCACAGCGAAACCCCTCACGTCTCATAAAGCGGCGGTTCACTGCTCTTTCAAGGAGTTGGGTCCACTAGAGTGGATGATGCGACGCCCTATTTTTACAGTTCTCCAGCCCGGAAACAGTGCAGTACGTACAGGCAGTTAGCATGATCAACTTATTTATTTTACTACGGCTAGCTCCTGCGACAGGATAAGCCGGCTTCATGAATGTCGCGAATTGCAGCTGCCCAAGCGCGGCAGTTGGCGGCAAGCTCCACGCAGATACTGATCCAATGATTCCTCCAGTGATCGGCACCATGCATAACCTGGAGTTCCAGAAGATCGACTTGCGAATTCACTGAAGCGATCCACCTTTTCAATTGTCCACCACCTCGACGGCACCAACCGTGCCAAGGCGAGAGTGAAACCATGGCTCTAGTGAAGTCAGTGTCTGGTCTTCGGAGGACGTGACTAAACCACTGAAATCTGCGTAGTTGGATGAGCGCTGCGGGCTTCGGCAGACCGTAACAGTGCTTACGGATTTTGTCATTGGTGATACGCTCATGTCACTGCGTTTAAAATAGTCGAAAACTTCCAGCTTTCAGGTGTCTTCTTATCGCAGAGGCCATGTTTCGCAATCATAGAGTAAAACCACACGAATGGTTGCCGAGAATACTCTGATTCTCGTTCTCAGACTAATTCCTGTCCTTCGCCACAATTTGTTTCTCAGTTGTAAGAAGGTTGTTCTAGCGCTGTCAATACGATTCCGGATTTCGGATGTAGCCTGACCATTGGGGAGAATAGTGGATCCAAGATACTTGAATTCAGAAACAGATTCGATGAGTTGTCCATGTAATGAGAACGACGGGGCGGACTGGATGGCTAACGATGAGAACTATTTCGTCTTGCTGATGTTGATTTCGAGGCCGATTGTAGAGGCTGCTTGGTCGACCCGATTTAGCAGTGACTGTAGTGATATAGCATCTTCCGCAAAGATAGTGATATCGTCAGCAAATTCTAGGTCTGACAGCCAGAAATCAAGGCTTACCACGATATCCCTCGAGGGCATGATGCATAACCCAGTCGACTGAGAATTTGTACAGCACTGGAGAATGTGGGCAACCCTGCCGGACTCAAGTATTGATGTCGAATTCCTCTGTTTCTTCTTCATAGACCCGAATCCGGGCCTACCTGCAACGGTGGTATGATCTCATCAAGTTAACGAGTTTAATCGGCACGCCATCGGCAAGTAGGACTCTCAAGAATGCTTCGCGGTCAACTGAGCCAAAGACAGCTCGAAAATTCACGAAGCAAACGAACGTGGGCTGCTAGAACTGGTAGCGGTGTTCGGGTACTCGAGATACAGTGAACATTTGATCAGTGCAGCCTCTGTCTAGACGAAATCCACCTTGATTATGGCGAGTTTGCAGATTCCTCTCATTGGCAAAGCGGGAAAGCAAGATTCGTGCGACGGTTTTGGCAGCCACATCGATTGGGATAATCACGCGATACTTGTTGCTACATATAGTTCGGTCATTTTTCTTTGCAATTGGCAGAAGTACTGAGATACTCCACGAGGAAAGACAGATTTCGGACTCCCATATCGAGCAGAAGAGCTCGTACAAATGCTCAGAGAGCTGGGAAACAACGTTTGTAGATTTTCGCTGGAATTCCCTCTGCTCGTGGGACTTTCTTCGGCTTCAGGCGACGAACGATATCTGCAACTTCTGTGGGAAATGGTGGTGAGCAATCCGCCTCATATCCTGGCTGGGTTAATGCTGGAATTGGTGTGGTGGTGTGTAGTGGACGGTTTAGGAGGTTGCCAAAATACTCTACTCATCTGGAAAGTTTTCCTTCCGTATCGGGGATGATTTGGCCATCCGAATGAATGGCACAATATCGGATGTGGTGAATAGCGTTTGCCGTAAGCTAAGCGGATGTGGTGGAAAAGATGACTCAAATGGCCAGAAGTTGATGCACCTTCTATGTTACGTGCGATAATAGACCGTTAGCGGTTGCGATCATTGTGTGCTGAGCAGGTTGCCTCACATCTCAAGCGATGGTAGTCTGGGGAATTTGTGAAACGTGCTTCTCTCGCTTTAGCGGACAGGCGGATAATATCTTCAGTGATTCAGTCCTACACAAGCTTAGTGGTAGAGCGCAGGATAGGTAAAGCAGCGCCTTGAACTGACGATTTTAGCCTAGACCAACGAGCGTCTACAGGTTCATCTTTTGCGATTACGAGGCGTGGTGCACTGGCAGAGGTTTCTGCTTCTATTGCTGCCTCCAGAGATCCGTAGCAGTCAGTATTTTCCAGTGGGGCAGTGTTGATACGCTTTGGTGGAAGGATCTTTTGGCTCGTTGTCAAACGGATTCTGAATTTAGCGTGTAGGAGTACGTGGTCCGAACCACCGCAACTTCGAGGGCCTTTCCGTGATGGTTTGTTTACTGATACCAGAAACTGTTCTTTTCAACCTTGTTCCAG